CGGCATGCTGCGCGCTGCTCTCGGGGTTGAGCTCGTCACGTAGAGCCTTGATGGCGCTCCTAGCGCTGTCAAGGCCTTCATCCAGGGTGAGTTCGTCTGGCGTTTTGGCGTACGTATTTCTAAGCACCCTCATAGCTTCCCAGACCTTATCGTACGCCAGTTCAAAGCCAGCCTCTCGAAGCAACTCGCGCAGAGCCTCGTCCCACTCCTCTCTTCTAGCCTCTCGCTCTTCTATCTTCTTCTGTCGCGCCTCTGCACTCTCACCCACTGCTGATTGCGCAGTCGCATCCAGGTCCAGAGGTGGCACCAGATCTGTATCTAGTAGGGCACCTTCTTGTCGCAACAACCTTCGACCTCGGAAGGCGCTCGGACTGCGTCCATCTTCTTCCGACGTGTGGCGCAAAGACTTGAGGGGATGTCCGTCTGGAAGAGTAGTCTTGCTCATGGTGAGCAGGTACTGCACCAAGGCCCACACGGGCATCACCACCGCCTTGGCAATGCGTCGTATACGATCCACATTATCAAAAAAGACGTTTCCCTCATCTTGCGTTTGAGAAGAGGTGCTCCTTCTAGCCTCTTTGACGAACAGCTCCAAGAATTGCTTTTGAGCTGTGAGGAGGTAATATCTGGACGATCTGTGTCTGCTCCAGTGCAAATCCAGACCTAGCAACACAGAGACGGGCGCATCCTTGAGCTTGTCAGCTTGTATGGCCGGATGCTTGAGGGCGTAATTGCGCGCAAACATGGTCGACCAATACGCATCGCAATCTTCCACTGAGAACAAGGGCAGGCTACGCGCAACGAAGCTCGCGTTGCCTTGACGCGTCACGCCCAGCTGAGACATGTAGCCCAGCTTGACTTTGTAAAATTCAGACGCTTCTTGGTTGTCCGTCGAGATGTAGCAATGGTCCTTGTCGTCGTCAGCCTCATTCGGTTGCCACATGACCGGCTCGACGAGTCCTAGGATATGCAATCTTTGAAAGTACTGCAGAATCTGCAACTTGACAGTCTGCTGCATCGAGTCTCTAATCTGTTCCGTCTGGCGTGCAAGTGCCATGATGCACTGCTGCGAGCTTTGCGCGAGCTGCACGACCTCCTCGTCCGGTTCGATCGCAAACATCTTGAAGACGTGTCGAAGTTGAATGGTATCATTGACCAGCTTGTCGATGCTGATGATAGATTTGGGTCTCGAGACGACAGCTGGCACTTCTCCGATAGGCGAGTCGGGCTGACCGATGGAGGAGCAAACATAGGAGAAAACTTGAGCCGGTTTGCCTACGAGGATGGCGACGAGGGCGCGATGAAGGTGACGTAGCCTAGCGATGGAGCCGGGCAAGTAGCCCATCAATTGATATCTGGCTAGACTGAGTTGCCAAAGCGTCTCGTGATGTTTCGGATTGTCGAGCAATTCTTGCGTGCTGAAGATGTGGCTGAATGGTCCCATATCACGGGGTGCCTTGTTGCCCTGCAATGCTTCTGGCACGTCCACCTGAACGCCCGCAAGTGGTGCCGCTCTCCAGATCGCTCTCATCTGTGCCGATCTGGCGAGGACAGAATGCTCAGAGGTGGACAATGTCTCGGTATATCGCTGCACTTTTTCCCAAGGGCAATCCTTGTGGTGGATCACTTCGACCTGCCTTCCCGTCAAGTGAGACATGCACTTGAAAGTCTTTATCGCCCCAACCTCTACCAGCGCGTCGACCATCTGTTTCCTCGTCCTCACATCTTGACAATTGCCCACTTCCATATGGGCTGCGTCTGCGCCTAGCACCCCTTGCACGTACTTTTGGTACTCGACGGGTAGCATGATGAAATCCACTACTCCAATCTTTTCCATCAGATCTCGACCGTACTTGGCTCGTTGCGTCTTGAGCCAGCTGTCCCGTGCCTGCGAGTGGTTCAACGAGCGAGCTGTGGTTCTGCCCATCGCTCGCAACCTGCCCTTGTTCGAGGTGTTGGCAGGAGTGGCGGATCGGGCTGCAGCTGACGCACTAGGTGCCGGCGAAGCCGAGATGGCTGCTGCCGGCGACCCATTCGCGGATACTTTCTGTGCGTTCCGACTGGCCTCTCCAATCGAAGGATCACGCTCGAAGCTTTCCTGGAAATCTGGTCCGTCCGCCTCTACTTGCTCTTGAGGCGTCAGAAGAGGCTCGTCTTCAATTTCAGCCGTCGCATCTTGCGCTTCCGGTTCCCCCTGAACTTCAAGCATGTCGAGGGCGCGCTCAGCAGCTGCCGCGTCTGCCGCCGCTTCCGCTTCTTCCCTATTGCGTTTATCGATTTTGATTCTCGATCTCTGACCAGCAAGGGTGAGGCTCTCGAAAGGTTTCAAAGGATAAGGTTTTCTCTTCTTTACGATTGGCGTGTTCGGATCCGGCTCGGTCCTTTCTTTGCGTGGTCGACCCCTCTTCTTGGGCGGAAGGGGGCTATCAGCGTGATTGCCTGTAGCCTTGGACTTTTTCCTCCCTCTACCATTGGCATCGTTATCTTCGTCCGCCTCCGGCGCTGCATCCGTGCCCTCCTTCAGCGCCGTTCTCCAAGCTTTCGTGATCTCTTCACGACTAGTAGCCGGCGGCGCTTGTTCCGACAATGGCCACTGATGAATAGCTTGCGCTTCGTCCCACATCACATCACCCTCCTGCGTAGCGTCCAGCGACGGACCCTTGCGTAGGCAAGCGTGTGCCAATTGTGACCAATATCGAGCATACTTTAGCCTACCCGAATGGTCCGTGGCTGCGACGATGAGGGCATCGCACATGGTCCTGCTGATCCTATTGACCGGACCGTTGTACGACTCTTCCAACGAACGCATCAGATGATCGATGGATCTGCGTCCTTGATACGTAGCTCCCACAACAGCAGCCAGTTGCATCGTGCTGATACCGGTCAATCCAGTCGCGCAGACAATCTCGCTCAACTGTCTCTCCAAAGGAACGCCCCTGGCAATGCGGCCCTGCTGCAACCTGTTCAATTCGTATTTGAGGCTCGCCGTCACACGAGCCATTGCCTTGTCCTTTGCCGAAGACAGGAATTCC